CGCGTATACACGCGCCCGCGGGGCGGGCTGCCTCTCTCTCCGCCCGGCCTCAAAACCCTGCTCCGCGCTCTAATACCATTTCACGAAATAAAAGTACCACACAATCGGGGCGGCGGTGGCGGCCGCTGTGGAACTGGGAACCGTCACGACAAGGCGGGTTTGCGCCGAGCAAGTGGATGAGGGGAGACGGAAAGAGGGAGAAAGAGGTGAGGGAGAAATAAAGAAAGAGAGCGAGAGCGAGAGAGAGAGAGAGAGAGAGAGAGAGAGAGAGAGAGAGAGAGAGAAGAACTTCCGCGCCGCCTGTCCGCGAAAACAAGACAGGCGGGGGCTGCGATCTCTCTCTCATTATAATGCATCTGCACCGTCGCTGCTGCAATATAGCGAACAACCGCGTCGTGGCCGCTCCGGACCCGCTCTGCGCAATGACCAAAGTTTGGGCGGGTCGCGCTCTGGGAGAGGAGAGAGAGAGAGAGAGAGAGAGAGAGAGAGAGAGAGAGAGAGAGAGAGATGACGGGGAAAGGGGTGGAGCAGGAGGTAGGGGGCGAGGGGGAAGAGTAACTTCAATTAAACCAACGCATTCAATTCACAGCCAGCCGAGCCAGCGTGGTGGTGGTTGTACAGTCTGCCGCGCTGGGCTGAGTCGACACAGCGCCGCCGCCCTCCACTAGCCGCAGCGGAGCGTTGGGCGTGGCAGGGCGTGGCAGAGCGGAGCGGGGCGTGGCTGTGATTACCTCATTTGCATCATCAGACGTACCGCCACCACCACGACGTCGTCGTCGCCCCGCCCCGCCCTACCCCGCCCTGCCCCACACCTCTCCCCGCTGTTAATTCGCCATGTTCGTTCGGACCGGGGGCGGAGGTGGTGGCGGAGGTGGTGTGCGGTGTGGTGGCTGCGGAGGGAAGCTGGCGCAGCGTGGTAACGCCCCACGACTCAATAATTAAGACCGCAACAACCGAGAACATACGAAAGCGACGCCTTTGCCGAGGGTCGGCCACTTGGAAATTCTATGCACACAATGAGGAATATTTAGAAAAATTCCAGACCATAAATATACCAGAAGTGCTACACCATAAATATTCCATCAATACCATTAAAATTTCTGAAATACCGTAGATAATTCCTCCCACGAAGTTCGTGCTCGATTTCGCACCCCAATATGCGTCCGGGCCAAAGCCCCACCCTATTAGCGCCAGACCAACGCCTGGCTGGAGCTTTGCCTCTACCCGGAAAGGTTCTAGCACCCGTTCCCGCAACGCTGTATAGGGGTTGGCAAGAGACAAAGGCACTGCTATGCTCCCAGAGTTTGCAGAAGGGAGACAACACGGCAGATGTCTGCGCGCGTTCGTCCGACTCTCTCTCCCACACTCGCACAAAACTCCCATCTAGTTTGTCGTCCCTCTCGCTCGCTCATCAGCAGGGGCCGGCGGCGGCGGCCCTGACCAGCCGCAGGGCAGGGCCGGCCGCAGCGCGCCCCGCTCCAACGCCCCGGCGCCCTATAGTTTCAAATTGAATACCCGCCTAAAGAGGCCGACGCCAATCGGCCGCCGGCCCCTCCCACTCCCTCCCTCCCCACCCGCTCCGTCGTCGATAGCTCGCCAATCGCCCTAGGAGGGGGGGGGGCGGGTCTGGCGCGAGCCCCCTGCTCCTCTCGTGTATTACCACCGCCCTGCCTGATTTGATGGCGAGGCGGATGGCTTTACAGTGCGAATAGCGCGCAGCAGCGCAGATCTTCTTTGTTGTGGCTAGTCGGCGCCGCCGTCTACCGCTGACAATCACGGACAACGACGCGCGCTGCGTGTGCGGATTGCACCGATTGTCATCGCGAGTGCAAGCCGTGCAAGCGAGTTTATCTATAGCGGCGGGATGTCACGACGGGCGAGCGTTAGACACCCAGCCTTGCTGCACTGTGCGAACTCCTTCTTGTTAGGACGACGATAAACCATGGCTAATTTTTAGTACAGGGGTGGCGTCCTGCATGGGCTTTCTCGCCACAGCATGCCTTTTACTGGTGACAAGAGAGCCCCGTTGACGACATATCCCTCTGTACTTAGAAGAATCAGACCTGGACTGATTGTTTTGTGAGTGAACACGTTAGACAGGCGGGAGTTACTCTGATCAATAACTGCTTAAAAACCTAACATAAGTCCACATAAACACTCACAAAGGGGTGGCAAAAGATGAGTGTGTTCTGGTATTGTCGTTATCGAGATGAGGATTTTTTACAAAGCACTCAACATGCTCCGCGAGAGAACACAGAGTGTAAGTATCAGTATTATAACCCTTGCAAGAGCAGCATGGGGAAAAAGTTTCCTGAATTTCAAGACCTGGTCTTGGATATCAATGGCTCGAATTCAAGGAACTTTTTAACCGTGAGCACGGCAAATGCACTACATATTTATCCGTGGGCTAAGGGCGCTAACGGCAGGTTTGCAGGGTCACGTTCACAGCTGGGGCATTTCGCACAGCAAAATTGTAAAGTCCGGAGAAGAAAACGCAATCTGCGCGGCAAGCTCCTGCCACTTGTGCGCGGTGCGCGCCCGTGAAAAGCTTCACTCAGGGCCGCCGGGGCCGCGAAAGGGCCCGACCGCTCCCCGCACCCCCACCAAGAGGGGGAGGTGGGAGGTGGCCCTCTTCCACCCCACACCCTCCCTCCCCGCCCCTTTGCGCAAAGTCAGCCCGAGCCAGCCGCCCGGCGCGACCAGACCAGGCTCGGCGAGGCCAAGCTTGTGGGACACGCGCTGCCGGCGCCTCTTTCAGAAACGCCCTGGAACCGACGGGAAATGTTTCAACGCCGCCGCCCGTCCAAGCAGCGTTGAAGCGCAGACCCCCCGTCCCCCCGTCCCTCCACCGCTCTCCCCATCAAAGCAAAGCAAAAAAAAAAGAAAAAAAAACAAGAGCGAGGGTTTGATGGTCCTGAGCAGCTGCACGCCACACTAAAGACTAGTTCTAAAAATTTCCGATACATACTATTTTGGTATGCGAGATGAAGTGAATGAAGAACATTGTTGTTCTTGATCAAAGTGCATATGATTGTACTCAGATCAAGGACACTCGGACACTGTCACTACCCACCAATGCGCGCCGGTGTATACTTAAGCATATTGTCTTCGTCCACTGGTTTTCCTGTGAGCATCAGTGGAGTCCAGCTACGGACCAAGCATCCCCACACGGAGTAACACATTAACGGTTTTGAACGTCACGGATCGTCATCACTTATAAGTATGTGGGTGATTATTTCGATGACGCACGATTCGGCCGTGAAAAGTCACCATGCCAAAGGGAATAAAAAATGATATTCGATGGGCTGGTAGGTGCTGTGTGGGGCGCGGGGCGGGGTCCTCGGCCGCCTTGACCCTGGTCAGGGCAAATCAAATAGGCCGCCAAAACAAACACGGCCAAAAATACCGCGCCGGGCCGCTCGTCAAGCCAGCCCAAGTTGGGCCCTGACCACTTCCACCCCCGCGCCGGCCCCGACCCTCCAGGCGTAAACTCTCCCCCTTTTAAGTCGCCGTGCTGCTGAATGGTCACGCCGCATCGGGCCGCTTTCCCTTTTCAAGGGCGGAGGCGGGGAGTTGAGAGAGGAGAGTAGCGCCGCTAAGGTAGTGCTCCCCTTCACCGCGCCAAGTTTTTCCAAGTTTCGCTTGCTCCCTGCGCCTGCCGAGTGCGACTGGCGGACAGCGCGGGGGCGGCGAAAGACCCAAAGGACCGTAGCAAAACCGCCATCCATTCAACCTTGCGGCATAAACAAGACGAAGGCTGCTCCTTTGGGGGAAAACAACAACAATATGCAGACTGTCCCCCTCTCTCCTCCCTCTTCCCCCGCTCTGAAATTGGTCGCTCCGCTAAGCAGTGCTAAGGAGCTTATAGCCACCGACCACCATACCGTGAGCGCCGCCGCGGCCGCCGTAGGGGTTGCGGCCCCCACCCTTTTTCCAACCACCAGCACACACACAGCCTTTATTGCGTTCAGATAAGCGGCCACTAAATAGATTATACGGGCGTGCTCAGCGCTTCCAGCTCCAGTAACGGGATCGAGCAATATGGCTGCTGCAAGGGAGGGCAGGGCACAGAGTGCGTTGGGAGGGACAGAGGTTGCAGAGAAAACGTTGGGGGCGTTTTCACGAAAAGGGAGAAAAAATCTAAATCAAGAATCTATCTTGAAAGCAGATGATACAAGTTTAAGAATAATAGGTCTGTTTCCTCCAATTTCCTCTCATATTTAGCTGTTATTTTGTTTATGGTTGCTTGTTACTTGCAATTTTGTAATTCGGCGTACTAGCGGCGCTGAGGAGGAGAAAAGGCGCGGGCATCGGTATGGGCTAGTATTGTTGTGCAGGGGCGGGGGGACGGGGAGCCTGTAGTATTGTTAGGCACGGTAAGGGTAGGGGCCTGGCGCGAACCTCACTCACTCACTCACTCGGACACGGTTCCCCAGCGCCAAAGAAATTGTTTTCTGGTCTGCACTAAGTTCTCTCTACTCATCGAGAGTAAAAGCTAGCTGACACCTTAAAGTTAGTTACTTATTCTTTATGTTTAGTCAAAAGGTTTTCAAGGTATCATCTGCTAAAAAGGCTCCAACAACTCGACAAAATCATCCACAAAACCGAGTCGGCAAAAAATTCGTAAGGTGTTCCTTCTCACCTTGAAAGGAGAACCACATGTTGACGAGGAAGGGGTGGTCCAGCGCGGCCATGATCTCCACCTCGCGCAGCACGTTGCGCAGCGCGTCCCGCTCGATGCACTGGCCCTTGTTCATGTACTTCATGGCGTACATCTGGCCCTTGTCCTTCTTCTCCACGATGCACACCTGCAGACAGAGAACGTCAGTTTTACTTTGAGCAGAACACTACCCGAGCGTGTGATTCCCCCGTGACCAACAACACGAGGTTCCGGTTAGTTACATGTTTGTTTTGCTAACTGTATTGTTTTCGGAGTTGTTTCTCGTCTACGAAACATGTAATGGCAACAGCAGTGTCCTCATCCTCATCATTTTCACGTGCGAGTGAGTTTGGGGCGGACGCTCCATTAAACGCGCCTAATGAACATAGGCCGCTCGCCACAGGCCGGCCCCCGCTAGCAGCAAGACCTTTCCAGTGACCCCGTCAAAGGCGTGTGATGAACACTGGACCGGTCAGAGCAAACTAACACACTTTTACACCATGCCCAACCCCAAGCAAAGATTATCATGCACCATATAGAATTATTATTTCACTCTCTCAATTTTGAGCAAACGGTTCGGACACAAACGTGGTTCCAAAAGTTGCGAACGCAGCATTTATTCTGATATTTCTACAATAAGCATAATAGTGAACTCAGCTCGAATTTTAGCATATTTTTTTTATTCAAGTTTTACACTTTTTCGTTGCAAACTGCAGGACAACAACTAAGTCTAAACCAAAACAAAAATGTCAATGAAAATGTTCTATTAGCATCGACCTGGTCGGGATCTTGACAAGGGAGAGTTTCTGTAGTTCTGTGGAAGTCGTCAAGAAAAGGGGTGGCGATAGTTGTTGGCCCACGTTGGGAGGAGCTCGTCCTTAGTAACAAAGCAGGGTGGCAGGCGGGTCGGGTGCGGCGAGAGAGGGAGAAGAGAGAGAGACTCCAACAAAATGAACTTCATGGAGGAGCCTTCCAGCCCGATGCCTTTTCGGACTGCCTGCAAAGTGGGCAGCGGTGAGGGAAGAGGCGAGACCGAACTACAGTGCGCCACAACTCAAACAAAGTCGTTCTGGCAGGGAGACCGAGCGACCTCATCGGCCCTGCGAACTGCCCCCCCTCGTGGCAAAGTATCTCGCACCTCGACACTATCTGCTAACGAATGCAAATTAGGGAAATGGCCTGCGAAACCAAATGTGCGGCCCCATATCATTGTGTTTGGTGTTGAAATGTGAAAATTCGGCTGACTCTGATGCTTTAAATTATTTTCACATCTCCGTAAAAGCAGCCAAAACAGTCACAAAACATCAACAACATCATTCTATCGTACCGTGGGGTGAGGTACTTATTTGTTTGGCCTGACAATGGGAGTAAAATGTGTTCTAGTCAACATAATGGGCTTCCTTTTCAGTCCCTTCAACCCGCTCCTCTATATACCTGGACATGCCGCCAAAGTAAGTAGGTCAACGCGAGGATCAATATTTAATACCGCTATTATCATTAGCCTTCCCGTCTTCCGCCCTCCGTCAGCCCCCCCTTCCCCCTTCTCTCTACCCTGGTCCTGGAGGAGGTAAAACGACGACACCGT